AGGAGGGGCCTCGGAGTAATAGCGAGGGCCTCGGAATAGTAGCAAGGGCCTCGGAACCCACAACTGAAGCTAGAGAATTATAACCTGATCGAATTAAGCTGGTCCCACCGTCGTGATGTGACGCCACGTGTCCATTCTGTCCTTTAACCCGTAACAGAATGAACCCACCAAGGTAATTTGGTTCTTTGTTTCTTGTTAATGCTTTGTGCGTGAATAATTTTTTTTTTCTATAACTGGTCAATTCTATTTCTCTTTTTTGAGATAGTAACTTTTATGACGGGAAGTGGTAAATTTTGAAGAATCTGACAAAAGGTATGGTTTTTGAATTTTACTTTTGATGTAAGTTATTGTAGGGTAACTGTTAATAATGCATCAAACAAGAAAGCAACTTTGATCAAGGTAATAGAATTTTGAATTTGATTAAATTAAGAAAATTCTAATATATTGGCGGAAAACTTTGGTATGATTATATGTTTTTTTTGTGGAATTTTTCAGGTAGATAGTGCAAATAAGAGAGGAAGTGTATTGGAGGTGGTTCAGGTTCTTACTGATCTAAACGTGATAATCAGGAGGGCTTACATTTCTTCAGATTGGGAATGGTTTATGGATGGTATTCAATTTGTTTTCCTAAAATTTACTTATAATTGATTTTGAGTCTGATTCTTTGACGGTAGATTTTTTCGATTGTCAACTGCAGTTTTCCATGTAACTGATCAACAAGGAAATAAGGTCTCCGAAGATAACATTGCCGAGTGCATTCAACAGGTATATATCCCAAAATGTTAATAGATTACGCAGTTCTTGCTGATCACGAGAGTGTTTAGAAATTTTTCGAAGGACCTAATTTCCTAATTTGTGATTTAAGAATAGTTTCCAGCTAACTTTTGCGAATTCACTTGTGTTTTTTATTTTTATTTCTGTAATTTACTTGATAATATATTTCTCATGGAAGGTTGGAATGAGTTTGTTTTGAATCATTGGCAACAAACCTCACTATGTTTGGAGAATCTCCTTTTATTCACAAATTTTGTGCTCCATAGAATAATTATCCAAATTCTTTTATAAGGGTCTACCTATTAGGTATTAATAAATTTTCAGCTTACTTCCATTCTGAATTCTGGGGAAAAAAAATATTAGTGCATCCTAATTTGGATGCTTTAACTAATGAAGTGTGATTATCATTGCTATGGATTATTATTTTTTTGTGAGTATAAATGTTGTGTTGTCCTTTATATTAACAACTTGTAGATGGTGTATATGTTTCTATCAATGAATTTATTTCTTCTTACTATAAAGCCAAGAAGCTGCTCTAATAATCTGTAAGAATTTTTCCTTTTTTTTTTCTTTCCTTGTTAGAAGCAGGATGCTTGATGTGTTTTCTCTTAATTTAGTTGTGATATTCGTTGATTGTGTTGTACTATTACCTGCCAAGTTTATTACGAATAAGACTTAGATGCTTATGTACAACTACTCTGACATTCACCAATCACCACTATAAAATATGTCCCAATATGCAATATGAAGAGTTGAAGAAAATTCGTGAAGCTCGTGGATATTCTTACATGGTATGCCTTGACGATAAAATGAAGCAATAATTGAAGTTATAGATAGCTATTTGTAAATAATTTATGCCGAATATAATTTTTTTATTTTTCAGTGAAATCAAGTATAATGAGATTAACATATATTTTTAGGACTTTTGTGAGGTGGCGACCAAACTTCTGTCAACTAAACACTAGAACAAAAATAGCTTACGACAATGTTAAAAAGATATTGCCGTAGACCTACGGCAACGTTTGGACGTGTGTTGCAAATTGAGGTGTTGTCGTTGAGTAGAGAGATATGGCAACGTTTGTTGAACGTTGCCAAAAGTCTTCAGCAACGTTTAAAAAACGTTGCCGTATCTATCTACGGCAACATTTGTCAAACGTTGCTGTAGGAGGTTTTTTTTTTTAAACAGCAATTTATGGAAATTGATTGGCAAATTTGAAATTGACTCTTTATGAACAAATTTTGAAATTGCATAAAAATTGATAATTTCATTACAAATATTTGAATCCATACACTTAAACATTACAAATTCCAAACACAACCTAGACTAAATAAAAAGTTGCCTTGCAAATCCACTTTGTTGAAGTATAAAAGATTCCCACACTAATAGTTGTACACGGTCTACTGTGTTATTTTAAGCACTACCAAAATCAACAACCTTATTTTTCTTCCTTCTTTTTCTCTTCCTCTGCTGAATCAGTCTTAGCAACAGATCCAAACCTAGCACCTCTAGCCTTCTTCTTTGCTTCCTCATTAGCAGGTGCAATCTGTCAGACGCAAACTGAAAATCACAAGTCAATGTTAGATGCAAATTTGAAGGCCGGACTTGTAGAATCAATACGCATTAAGCCAATGAATGCTATGAATTTCCCTATAGCTTAATCATAATCTGTTTTAAAGAAATAGAACAATTTTCTTATGAATTACTTCCAAGATTTCTAACCAAGAATTATCAATTCTTACTATATTATTGTCCACACTCATAAAGCTTCAACACATATCCAACAATTTAAATGTAATGTTTTAGCAGTTCCATGTACAAATAAATCATTAGTCTAATAGCAACAAAGTCGTCTCTTTACTATTTGACCATCTTACCTAAGTTAAGGCTTTTAGAGAAACTACTGCCTCATTTGGCTCATTAGTTCCCAGAATATGGTGGTCATATTAGGTAGAGAAAACATATCTTATCAGTTCCCACAATACGTTTGACGTATTAGGTAGAAGAAACAGATTTCAGCTAACAGAAACATCAAAATTCTTAAGTGCCAATGAATCTAGTCCTAATTCATAAAAGTGTATGGAAAATGCAAATCAGTTAATAGTATGGATTATAGGAAACAACTGATTAGTCAAATTATCACTTATATACTTGAAAGCTCCAATGCACTACGGTGCACGACCATAAGAACCAAGTATCTAGGTCTGTACAAGGAGCCAGAATACAAAATTCTAATTCATGATGGAAGTGGCCAAGCTTTAAAAGTCATTGAACCATTAGTTAAATTCAAATCTTTCAAACCTTATAAGCTCCATCCTCACAAACTGAAAGGTCAATCTTTTTTCCATAGTAGAACTCAAGAATACCACATCTTAACCAATTGATGAACATAAAATTCATATATCGAAGCAGCAATGAAGAGACGTGAATATAAAACAAATAAAAAAAGGAATTGTGAGGACATACTTCTTCAATGCTGGTACTATGTTCAGTGGACAACTGCAATGCAGACAACCTCATAGCTTGGTGATCGTGATCTTCATTCATCTTCTTATTTTTCCTCACACTAACATCTGCAAGCTCTTCAACTATACCTTCGACATTCAACCCTGAAAGCCCAAGATTGGTTAACCAAGAGGGGGGTGAATTGGTTTTTAAAAATTTTTCGTTAATACTACAAGATTTTAAACTAATAACCACACGAATAGTTGTGAAACAATCCAAACACAAATATGCACGTAGATAATTGAAATACGTTTGCGTAAAGTAAAAATGCTTAAGTAAAAGAGTTAGAGAATGCAAATGATATGTTATGGAGGTTCGATCCAACGCAATGATCTACGTCCCCCGTTACCAAGCTCTTCGTCACGAGCAATGCCTTTTTCACTATGTTGATTGACTTGTGGTGCAATCCAACCTATTACAAAGCTTCCGGTGACTTACAACCAAGGAGCACCAATCCTTTTACAATGTTGAGCTTTCCGGGATCACAACACGACCCACAATTCAAAATGAATATACAAGTGAAAAACTTCTCTTCTTGATGAATGATGTAATCAAGATTGATAACAAGAAGAGAAGAGACAAACACTTCAATAGATAGCGAATATTTAAGCTCAAGTGTTTTTAGTTGCAAAACTTTGATGGATAATAAATGATGCAATAATGAGGATCAATGTACCAAAGTTTTCAACAAATGATCTTTAATAAAAAAGCTCTTTTAAAATTCTCTTAGTTGGTTGAACAAATTGAATGCAAAGGAGTTTGGTAATTATAGAGTAAACCAACCAGCTGCAGGGACTTTTGGCTGATACACTTCAGTCGACCGAAGTCCAAATATAGCTGTAAAGCCCCAAAATTTTATCGACTAAAACTTTGGGGTGTTATCGATATCGTCATTTAAGTAAAACTTTGAAATCCTTAAATAACTTGAAGCATCAAACACTATTTTAAATGAATACTTTAAACACTGAATCAAACATAATGTCAATAAATCTAAACATTTAAGGGAAATAAAGAAAACACAACATGTCGTAACATAATTTATTGTCAAATGTTTTGCTTGAGAATTTGTTACTTGGCAACCCCCACACCGCTCAGCCACCATCCATGTAGACCGATCTGACCTGAAAACATTGAATTTTGAAGGAATGAGTAATTTGACTTAGTAGGATATGTGCGTCCAAACAATACAATAATTCTTTAAACATAGATTTATAACAGTCATACCATCATTTCATCAAGAACAATCGGAGATCAATCGAAAGCTCTAGCATTTTGGGAAAACTCGAAGGAGATCCCACATTTCATTTCATTGGAGAAAACCCGAAGGAGATTCCACATTTCATTTCATCAAGACCCGTAGGTCAATTAGCATTTCATGGAATAAATCATATAAAAATAATTATAATATTGTAAGGACATAAAATCACTTGCACATAAGTATACTACCTTATCAATGAATATTGAATTGCAAATTTCGAAAATCACGATCCGGATCTTTGTTGTTTTTGCCTATGCCGTGTATGTGTATGAATATAATATTTGTGGTTAATCATGGGGTCTTTGTCCAGTATATATAGTTGAAATAGTAAATGAGTTATGGTATAATTGGAACAAAAATCGTGTAAATAAATCTAGGATATTTGTACTTGTACATTAAGATCTATACATCAAGGTCTACACCCCTCTCACATGGGGGGTGGGGTCCACTCGAATAATAATTTTTTATTCGAGCGGACCTCATCCCCCATGTGAGAGGGGTGTACAGCCCGATGTAATCCTTAATGTACCACTAGCATGGTCCATAAATCTACGCGTTCAATTCCTTGTAATTTGCTCAATCCGTTGGTTTTCTATGCATTACTTCCATACAAACATGGCAATCTACTCGTTTCAAGGCAATGACTGACAAGGCACTATAGCATTTGCGTGTATTCCCAATTTATAAAGTCATTACTGTTCAATCTGTTTCATTCCCAAAGCAATCACATCAACAACCAATCATAGACAAATAAATAAAAACTATTTTCCTTTTCCATCCAAAAGGGCACGTGATGCCTCTCAATTTTTTTTTATTATTCTATACAAAATTCTAAAGAAAATCATTAATAATTTACTAATAACCATGTCATGTCTTATTCTACTTAAATTAACAATTTAATTAAATGTAATTTAAGACGATATATTTCAACCTCAATAATTTGATCATCATTTATCGAATTAACTTTTTCTCGAGCACAATATACATAACTAATTATGAGCTATCTAACGACCTCAATATTGGTATACTTATCATTAATGTGCCAATATTTAAATATTTGGCCCAAATGAATTTAATATATGTCACTTTTCAGACCGTTGGAGTTTCGGCAGATCAAGTTAAAACTTTCGGTCGAATTTCTTTCGGTCAACCGAAAGGTTTTAGTCAATCGAAATGAATAGATTTTTGGTTTTAAAAGATTTAAATCACAAATGTCATTTTCCAAAAACCAAATTTCATTTCGTGAATATTTTTATGCAAGTGATGAGATGTATAAAAATTGTCTTGAACTTTATACTTGCTAAAGATTGATGAGTTTACCTTTACATTTAAGTTTCGATAAACAATTTCTAAGTTATATTCTTCAAAGTTCTTGTTTTTGTCGTTCTTTTGACTTGATTTGCGTCTTTTGCGAATCTTCGAGTTTTAATTCGTTTGTCGCATACAAATCTCTATCGTCTCGAATGCAATCCTTCATTTTGATTGCTTTAAGGCTTAATCACTCAAATTCAAATGTTAGTAAATAAAATAGCTTGTTTGTTATAATCAAAACATTAAGGTTATAATCAACCATAGGTCAACAATTTCTCCCTTTTTGATTATGACAAACAAGATGTATGATTTGAACAATTAATATCATATTGATAAAGGAATATATATCATGAATTCATCATGTAATTCATATTCCCCCTTTCTTTAACAACTAGACATTTAAAGTATATTATATTTTCAAGTCGAAACATGCATAATCATCATCTCATATTTTCCCCCTTTCGACATAAGCAAAAAGGCATAGCTTGTAAAATTAAAAGACAACCATGTAGAAAGACGAAGGTCTTATCCCTTGTAATTTTTCTTACTTAATGTCTCCATTTAGCACAAGCAAAGGAATATCACCAATGAGAGGAAGAGCATGACACATAAGATCAAAAATTGAATCAACCATAGGAAATAATGTCCCCCAACAATGGAATGGAAGATATTCGATTATCGTCGATCATTTCGATCATCATTGTGAAGCACGTAAAAGTGAGCATAACATTTCCATTTTTCAATATTCCGCCTAATTTGTACACACCAATAATATGAGATAAGTGACACAGAGTTCACAAGCCATTCATATTATTCATAAGCCATGCATATCACAAGCCGTACATAATAAGCATCCCATAGGCATATATAAAAAGAAGGACAAAGTAAGTAATTTTAAGCGAAGGTCAAAAGTAGATAAACATGAAGACTACACAAGGTTTTAAGTTGCATAATAACATTTGAAATGTTCATACCATGAGTAAGGAAAAGGAAAGCAAAATAGAAACAAAAGCGATATAAGTTTAGAATGTACTAGAAGTAACGCTTCAATCGTCCATCGGTGGAGGAGGATCACGAGGGTAGATGGAGTACATGTAAGAGTAAAAAGCTTCTTGTGACAGTTGCATTTGCCCCATTCATTGTTCGAGAGAGTCAAATCGAGTATTGATGGAAGTAGCAAGAGACTCAATTTGACCTTGTAGGAGGTTGAATTGATCTTCGAACCGCGGTGGTGGTGGATTATTGCCATCACTACCATCACCATCACCGTCACAGTCACCACCAACACCATCACAGTCATCATCACCAACATTAGCACTATCATCATTTCCAATACCGCCTATTTCTTCCACTTCTTCGTCGGTAAATGGCCATGTAGTAGGCCCCGAACCATCGTTAAAATCTTGAGTGTGACACACCCATTACCCTTGACCTCTCACAATTTTCATACGCTTAAGAGTGTTTAGGTTAATGACATCGGTGTGTTTAGGATGAATAATGACTTCATTTTCTAAAGGCACATCGAAGTGTTGGAAAATTTTAGTGAAAATCATACCATAGGGCAAACCTAATATTCTAGGTGGTGAATTAACATAATGAATGTGTTTGAGAAAGTTATGTGAGAAATCCAATTTTCTTCCTACAAGAAGTGAGTCGAGGAGAAAGAAGTCTAGATGATGGACTTCTTCAAAATGACCACTACAAGGTACAATAATGTGAGCAATTGCCCGATGAAGAACCTTGCAAGGAATAGTGAGGTGGTTCAAGGTTAAGGTCATGGTAGTGGTTAATGGTCGGTTAGTGACATGACAACATGCCTCAAGCTCATTGTATCCATCAAAAGAAACAGGAAAATGTTGCACATAGGCACGGTTTTCGCAAGCATCTAACTCAAGTATTTGCCTAATTGTAGGTCTATCTAAAGTGATACATTTATCTGTTAGCACGCAAACAATGTAGTGAGGGTGAAATGTGGCTCTACGAAAAGATTCGGGAATAAGATTTGGATACGCACATTCAAAGATTGAAATGATATTTTTCTACTCAATATTTTCAAGGAGTTCTTCTATCCTAAGTGACGGAGCCTTAAGAGATAATTCAAAAAGTCCATTGTCTTACCAAGAAGAATAGGATGATTTGTGAATCGGTCGGGCAAGGGTGCATCACTCTCGGCGATGGATGAACTCGATTCTCCTTTCTTGGACCGCTTCCTTGGTGGCATGGCTTCGGGTTTTCTTGTTAGATGGTGAGAGACGAATTTGGAAGTGTTGACAAAGTGTTTGAAAGGAGAATTTAAGGAAAACTTCAAGAAATCGCGAAAATGGCTCCAAGAAAGATTTTTTCAAGGATTTGGACGAAATTTGAAGAAAAAGCTTGGAAAATGAAGTGAATGTGTGATTGGTTTTTATTATGGATGGATTTTGAGTGAAAAACCCTAGTTTTTGTGGA